TTTTTGTACAGAGAACTCTGCAGGGATAGAAGGGAATACCGCTCATCCATTTCTGCAGCTGGTTCTTTGTGGAGCGGGCCAACTACTCTGACCCTAGGGTCGCAGCTGCCCCAAATCCAAAATGATATAAATAAACAAGAGTTCACAAATATGACTATTGACCTCTGACCAGGCCTGGCAGCATGACTTCACCCAGAGTTCACCATCTGCTGCAGGGTTTCTTCAGAGGATTCCGAGCAGCATCATCGCTACACATCAGAAAATCCTTTCAAAGGATAACTTCTCAGATTGCTCTTAGGATTTACCATCCAGCGTTTTTATTTCTAAAAAGACCAAAATCAGACAGAAAATCATGTTTCTGCACAAAAGTTACATTAAGTCAGTGTGTGCTGGGAACGGTTGCTAGGCCAGGCATCAATACAGCAACTTGAAGTTGCAAACATTGTTTTAACTTGACTGGCAGCTTTAACTCAAGAGTCTCTCCAGAACAGGTAAACGATTCTTCAGGGTGATATTCACAATTATCTCATAAGTCAGCGTCGGCTGATAGAGCTCTTTATTAAAACTGATTTATACTCAGGCACATCTGTGGATAACCAGACAGGAAGGCCCAGGAAAGAGGGGTTTGTTCCTATAATGATGCTGCGTGCTAAGTGCACTAAAAGGTTTAATCTAATTTTATATTAAGATATTAAGAATTATTAGTAAAAAAAAAAAAAAAGCCTGAATGCACTTAAGATTTTGCTGGTGTGTTCTAGGAGGATGCTGATATTTGTATTCCTGAGGTTTTTCTCTGCTCATTTACTTCATTTCCCTCATCTAAAAATGTTTAATTCATTTTAAATATATTGAAGCACTTTCAGTATGAGAGCATGTTGATCATATACTCTGGATGTATGAATGATGTTTTAATCTGTCAGAAATATCATCTTTTTGTATTTTGTAAAATAATTTTAGAGTGGCCATGACTTATTTATTCAATTATAATAGTTCTAAAAACATGTTCATGACGTTCTATACACCAAATCCCTCTCACATAAAGACATTTCTCCAGTTATATTCTTGACATTTTCAGTACCTACCAGAAAGAGCCATTTCAGGCCTCTGTCACTTTAAGAAAACAAGCTGCTTCTGGCCACGCCCACCCAATCCCACTCATGCTGTTATAAGCTGAGAAGCTTATCTGCTCCTCCAGCAGAAGCTCTCTTTTGCAAAGAGAGGTGGTTCTATTCTACTTTCCCTGTTTGTGACATCCCAAAAGGAGAAACTGGTTTTGATCCCTAAAACCAAACCCTGACTTAAATGGATGAACAGTTTTTTTCTTCACATTTAGAGTGTTTATAGAGGCAATAGAGACCCACATGGCTGCACAAACGAATGAAAAATGTTCTGTAAAGGCCTCAGACTCAGATTTAAGTTTAGTAAATCCTCAGCTTGTATTCTCCATCTCATTTAAGCCTGGTTTGTACCTCTCCATCTGTGTTGCATGTCTCTGCAGCGACGCAGAGGGAGAAGTATAAATCAGGAATTATTCTCTACCAACAAGAGCTTTAAACCTGATTAATAAAGTTATTCTTTTTATCACTTAATCTTCTAGTCCAACCTGAACTGCTCTCCTCCTCCAACCCCCCCGGTGCTGCAGAGATATGGCCTAAGCTGTCGATCACTCAAGATCCAACTTTTAGCCAATGAACGATTAACTCATCACTATAGGCAACAGCTACAGGAATTCAAAATGTTTCTAGTGAAATTACATTTTTACTATAGAATGCTGTTTCTTTGGTAAAGTTTCAGCTTGTTCTAACCCCTCACCGCTTACTTTGACCACATCGCCTGTTTCTAATTAAAATGGAAGAAAAAGATATTTTGCCAAAAAGCACAACAGTCTCTGTGGGATTTAAACCAGCGGCTGAACCTGACTTCATGCATCTGTTATCAGCTCCAAATAAAAATACATCAGACCAGAAACGTGAGTCCCCCTTCGTGTTTTCTCATCTGAACGTAACAGGATGTTTTTGTGTTGGATGTCTAGACAGACAACGAAGCGTGCTCACACCTGAGTCCTCGCTGTGATCAGATGCTGCAGAAAAACCTCCAGACAAAACTTCTCGGCCTTATTGTGTCTATTTTATGTGCCACATCACTAAACCAGTAGCTCACTGGGCTGCAGGTGCCGGCGACATATTGGGAACAGCATCCACAAGGGAGATTCCAAAATGTCTCCGAGCTTGAGAGGACTCCAAATTTCCTAGTGTGAGCGTGCTTTTGTGTCACTTACATCTTATTCCAAAGGATTACAAGACGACTGTTCTTCTAAAAAGGTTACAGTACATGTGAAACGACTGTGTGAAGTCCAATGTGAAGTAAAATGTCTGCATTTGAGAACACTCTCCTCTCCACTCTCCAATCACAAACACTGTGACCGTGAAAACACGCTCACAGTGTTTGTGATTGATTTCACTTGATGAAGTGATCAACTGGGCCCAGTTTCCTCATTTTATCTATCCTGACTGTTGTTGTTTGTGACGTCATATCCCACCAAGACATAACGTCTCACAAAAGCTGCAGAGAAAAACGACACATGGAGGATGTGGTTAAGAGGCCATCACACAGTCTAGACCACAAACCAATGGACTAGAGTGTATGGGAGCCTGTGAAGGTCAAAATCAGAGGGAAACCAAACCCAAACCAACAAATACCAAAACGCTGTTTAGTGTTGAGTTTCACCTATCGGATCACCAGATGATCTCTAATTAGACGTATATTTAAAAAAAGTTTTTTTGTGAATACCTGAAACACATTTCAGTGTGACATTATTTTGCACATCAGATGAATTTAAACTTTAGCTTCTAAACCAACAAAGTCTGCACCTCCTTCTCAAAACATCATAGTTTAATAAAGAACCCACCATGTTGCTTTAATCTGGCCTAAAATTCATTCCCATTAAAAACAGAAAAATAACAAATCCTGACATTTAAGAAGCTGAACCAAAAGAAAATGTGGCCTTTTTGTCTAAAAGTAATACGTGGAGGTTGCAGTGGTGTCGGCGTCCTTCCTAGCTTGGTGCTTTGAGAAAAAGAGTCTGATAATGTGGTGAACACGAGCCTCTCACAGTGTTGGGAGTAAAAATCAAGTTTTCTGCCAGATTCTTCCTATTGCAGATGCACAAACTCGATCTAGATGACATCATGACCTGCAGTGAGACGTGAGGCGGTTGCCTTCGTGTGCAGAAGATGTGACGACACAGTCCAGTACGCACATAGATGATGTCTTGGGTCACGCTTTAATCAAGTAAAAGTCGAATGAATGTGTGACATGACCACATGTGTCTGATTTTGGACCACAGATGAATGAGCTGGGTGAAATTAGAACAAAAACATGGACTGGTGTTGCTTTGAAGGTCAGAAAATGTGGGAAACAAGTCAGATTTTGTCCACTTTTGCCTTCAGTGTGGATGCAGACTACGTCGTCTAACATTTACCACCTTTACTGACAGATTAAGAAAATGTAAGAGAATTTCAGGCGACTTCACGACACCTGCAACAACTTTGCAACCATTTTGAGGGAATTTGTCATGGTCAAAAGTCCATAATCACGAAAACAAGGCCTCGCTGCAGCTGAAACGATCCCAGGTGTGTTCAAAATGTGTCCGATCCTCCCTCCTGATAGCTGCTAGCTAGCTGCCACATGCAGACACATCCCACTGAAATACTGGCTTCAGTTTTCCAGAGCTGGACACTGATCCTGGCACACTCAGCAGGAGAAGTCTCAAATATGTGGGCTGCACAAAGTCACACGTAAAGACAAGCAGTGAACCTTGAGGGCTGGCGAAAGATGGTGAAATCTGAGCAGAGAAGCCAAATTTAATCCTCGTGCATCAGAAAAACCCTGATGACGCACAAAAATACTTCATCAACAATATATTCACAGCTTAAAACCCCGAATGATTCAGTTTATACCCGTAAAAAGGGCGTTAAAGCCCAGATGGAATATTATAAACTCCTTTTAGCGGGAAAGTGAGACAATGGGCTGCTGAATAATCTGTGCAGCTTCTGCTGCATATCTGAGTTTGCATGATTTACTCACATGTGTGGGGGTGATGTGAAAAATTCTGCTTTAATCAGAATGAGGCTGATGGGCAGAGACAGAGAGGGCATTTCCTCTGTTTGTCCTGCGAGGTGGATCCACACAGGGAGGCCTGATGACGTGTGACAGATGCAGGGAAAAAAGGGATAATAGCTGGAGGACGGCTCGGAAAGAGCAGGCAAACGGCAAGAGGTTATTCCCACAAATTACCCAAATAATGAGCACTGAGACTTGGCCACCGAAGCTGGGGCTCCACCCCAACATCAGCTAATGTGACATCTATCGTCTAGATTCATCACCTCAACATTTTATTTAGAAAAAGTAAATAAAAGCAAACAAATACTAACACTCATGTCAGATTTTCCAAGCAAATATGTTGATTTTAAAGACATTTGCATCATAATTTATGTGTATAAAAACATAAAATACATTTTAAAGCTGCTAATCACCATTTAATTAACCAACAGGAAGAATTTGATTAAAAATGGTCAAAAAGATAAGCAAAACTTCATCTTCTGACATTATCTAACAACCAGTTAACAAGTTAGTTCCATGACTTCTGTCAATGAACAAAAACATTTGTTAGTGAGGCACAGCAGATCTGCTGCAGGACTAGTTGAACTGTAAAAGCTCAAAGTATAAAATATTTATAAATAAACCCAATAAAAGCATGAAATGTCTTTTTCAAGTTAAATTAAAGAAAATCTCGAAAGAATTTTCATTTTCAACTGTTATGTTGTCCTTTAATAGTCCTTTCAAACACATGAGGGAACTGGTATTAACAGGCATTATGATAATGTACCATTTATTTACCATTACCATTTACCGTGATAGAATAATGGGATTTCGGTCAAATAAAGCTTGATTATATTTTTGAGCCGTTTCACTTCTTTAAACTAAATAAATCAACTCACCGTGAGCGGACACGTTGAGAGAAAAACGATGAGGGGGAGTAAACTTTTCATGATCAGTCCCAAGGAGCTCCAAAACAAACTACAAACCCTCAAACTCTCCTTCAGAGCGCTTCATCCAGGATTTAGCGTCTAATGTTGATTTAAGTTCCATGAATGACGCAAAAAAGCGCAGAAAAGCGCAGAAGATGGATGCTCTGCGTCCACACCAGGCACGCATTGAGCAGAGCGCGCTCCACTTCCCCGCAAATTACCTCCAAGGTCAAAACAGCAATAATAGGAAAGTGCGTTTCCGGTTAGGACTTTCAAAATAATAAAACCCATTTTGTTTCCGGTTAAGTATTTTCAAGAAGAAGAAGAAATATAAACATGTAAACTGGACGTGATAAGCATTTATTTAAAAACTGAACATATAGTTTTAAGTCAAACAACATTTTTGTCACGGTTGCTTAAAACAAACACACAGGGAAGATCTTTCTAAGTGTCAAAAAATTCTGAAATTTTTATTTGTCTTTGGTTTTAAAGCTGAAAAGTTTGTGAAATACTCATTTAAACTAAATCATAGGAGACAGGAGCGATGATAAACCCTGTCCTGTGGGCAGCAGTGGCTCAGGAGTAGAGCGGGTTGCCTCATGATCGAAGGGTCATGGGGTCGATTCCAGTTCCCGCCAGGGGTATTCTGCTGTTGTGTCCTTGGACAAGACGCTTCACCCAACTTGCCTGGGTTGGTGGTGGTCAGAGAGGCCAACAGCGCCAAATGGCAGTCTTGCCTCTGTCAGACTGCCCCAGGTCAGCTGTGGCTACAGAGTAGCTTACCATCACTGGCAGTGTGTGAATGTGAGAAAGCATGAAAGTTTCTTTGAGGGTCCTAAAATGCGCTGTATAAGTTTGTTTTATTAATTAAATATGAACAAGAGTTGGTCCGAATAGTCCAAGAATGTTATTTCCTATGATTAAAAACAGAAATACTACAAATAATAGATACTTATTTGTTCTTGCCTATCCTTTTGGGTTTTTTTCAATGACAAGCTCACATTTTTTCTTGTTTCTCCCTTTCTGTTTATTTAAACAAATGATTAAATAGTTTAAAACATACATTTCCCAAAAAGCTCCTATGTGAACAACATTCTTAAGCTGACTACTGTTTTTTTATAGCAGGAAGTAAAAATAAAGATTTACAGTTCGTTTTTTTTTTATTTGAGTTCTTAAGGGGTATGTTTAAAGGTCACTTTTACTGTGAGCTGATAAAATATGTCATGCAACCACAAACAAGTTCCTGACTAGAAAATGAAGAGAACAGAAATGTGCACTCAGAGAAAACATCGCTGTCCTCGTTATAAATACTCTGTCTCTGTGTACATGGGCTCCATCGTTTACAACGGGCTGGTGAAAACAGAGCGAGGACAAAGTGGCACGTGTTTACACGAAGCCAGAAAGCATCGACAGCTCTGCTGCTGGCAGGATCAGCACAGGTCTGAGATGTGTTGGCACGGAAACGTGAGCAGCTGCTTCAGAAGCTTTATGGTTTGTATAAGAACGACTTTAAACATCAGGATTGTGTCTAACACTGTTTATCCTCGAGAGACAAACAGCAGAGGAAGGCTGTTGTTTATTGCTGTTTATTTGTGGATGCCTGCAGTTTCCATTCTTGGTGTTGAAAATTTTCCCACTAAGGACCTGTGTCTGGATCAGGGAGCAGCAGGGAGCCCCTGATAAAGATGGACCTTTATAAAAGCAGGGCTGATCGACTGGGTTAGCTCTGCATAAATGAGTTTAAGATTGTAGGTTTGCACACTGAAACTTTTGCATCTTAAAGAAATCTGCAAACGTCAAATCATCCAGTTTCTTATGAATTTTAAAACCTAGACCCTCAGAAGGTTTCAACAAGCCTGATGACACAAACACAGCAGGCACTTGCATGAACTCTACCGGAGTCCAGCAGAGCGCTATGCTTCATACTGAACACAAGTTCTGCTGATGAGTCATGAACAGGAAGTGAGATGACCAGTTTCTGTGGTTGAAACACAATAAAACTCTCCTTTACATGAAGTCTTACTGGCAAAGGAGCTGAAGAGGATTTCATTTCCTCACTTCAATAAATAAATCAATCAATTAATCAATCAATCAATCAATCAATCAATCAGATTTATTTATAAAGCGCTTTTCAAACAGAGTGCTACTCAAAGTGCTTTACTTGTGACCAAACAGTAAAAACGTTCAAAATACTGAGGAGATTAAAGTCAAGTAAAAGCCAGATGTCAGAATTACGGGTATTTTGATGATAAACTGGATTTTAAAAAACATATAAGACGTTGTTCCTGCTAAATAGTCAATACATGTTTATCTAAAGATGTGAAACATTTCATTTTTATATTTAATTGATTCTTTAAACTTTTTGATTGTTTCCACTTTCCTCATAATTTAGAGGCTTCAGATCAAACAAATAGGTTAGGGGATGAGTTATTGCCCTTCACTGGTTAAGAAGCTGCTAGCTTACAAACACTTTAGTGACATCTAGCGGGCAGGTGGTCTTTGTGCACGTTCTGATGACCAACCATGTTGAACGTTATAATAATGTTAAAATAAAGTGGCTTTAGATCACATTTGACCAGTCTTGTCAGGATAAACCAAAGTAGGCGATACCGCTGCTTTTATTAACTCTTTCAAATAAAATTCCTGATTCTCTTTTTTATAATGAAAAACATAAAATCACGTGAAATTCATACCAACAATATTATTTCTTCACTCACTTGATTTGTAAAACGTTGCATTAGTTCAGCTGTGCCACCCTGAAGTAATGTGGGTTTGCAAAGAAGCACACAGCCTTTCTACAGCCATATTTGGTGCATGTAGGAAATCAAACTTAATGGCTTTTAACCATTTATTCTATCGAGTCACGCTAATTTCCCTCATTGCATGCATACAAAATAAAATGAAGACTTCAACCTAGCCTTAAACTCCTTTTGTGTGTGTAAAACAATTTTACCGAGTAAAATTGCTCACAGGATTTTTAAAAATCCTGTTTTAAAAAGTACCCAGACGCATATTCTGGGGTATCTACTTCCAAGTGTTAAAGAAAATCTGAATTAGAAGAATTCCTTTTTTTATTTACCTGTTATGTATTTATTTATTTATACTTCTGCTACAGTTACTTTGTAATTAATTCTGTCAATATTCTTCTTCTTTTTCTTGTTGTTGTTGACAGACCCCCCTTTAATTGTGCTATTTTCATCACCTCTATGTATTTTTTTAATTTACCATTGATTATGTATTATTAACAGACTAATAACTACCATATCAGGCACAACCCACAATGATGCTGGGCACAGGCAACGGACCTGGCTGGGGTGTGTAGCCTATGTTTGTCTCCGTGTCTGTTCACCCATCACGGACCTCGTATGAGTTTTTCACTTCAATATAAAAATAAGCTTTTCTATTATATTTTGAATACAATTTAAATTGAAAGACGATTCGTTTGAAACGTACTTCTGACTTCCGGTCAAAAGAACATAAGCAAGGCCTCTTCAGAAGGGTTAACAAGAGAGCACGTCAAGGAAAGTGTGTTGTCGCCGCCAGGTGGCGCCCCTGCACGGGTAGTGCTACAGCGGTTGAAAGCCCCGTCCCTCCCCGCCGGGGAGTGACCTCTTTCCAGCGATGACAGTTTCCTGCAGAGCTGCTGACACGGAGACGGACGGATCTCCTTCACAGTCGCGGGGATAAACTGAAGGAGTTGGTGGGCATGCGGGGGAAGCAGCAGCTCGAGTCAGTTTCACTTTATTCTTCAGGAGAGAACGGATGTGGCTGTTGGACACCGGTGAGTGTCTCGCGCTCTCGACGGTAACCGTTGAGGAACAAGTAGTTTGTTTGGTCTGCTGGTGAAGCTTCATACGTGTCACTGTGTCGTCACGGCGGACTTCATTTAAAAAATCGGACAATTAAACGTCGTGTCACTTTGTTTTAGTTAAATACACGTGAAAAGTGATATTTTAATGTCTATTCGGAAGGACTAGGTGGTGATTTTGTATTCGGGGTACACATAACTAAACATCACTCCTCATTTGTTGGTAAAATCTCTGCTTTCGCTACAGCCCCAAACTCCCGCAGCAAAAGAATGAAGCGAGGTGCTTTTAAAAGTTAAAATAATGATTGGAGACTATGTTCACGATGTGTTTGACGTTAACCCCCAACGGTTTTACTGTCTCCTCATATGTCCCTAGCATTTGACCTGTAGGGGTTTGTTCAGCTGGGCTGCATCCAGTCTGGGATGATCAGCGGAAATCAAGTAAATTAGAAAAGTGTGTTCTAATGCTGTTTGTGCATTATGTCTTTGTTTCTAAAATGTTTATTTCAGCACACCAGACAAATCTGGTATCAAAGGTCTGAAGCTGAAAACTTTTGGGATTATTTCTGTATAAAATATCCACTATGTGGAAAAACCAGAAAACACACATAAAGGCTAAAAGTACCCGTCTTTTTAACCAATTATAAATAAATTATACATTTCTATCTGTTGGATCATCTTTAAATTGTTTATTGAACTCCTCTAAAATATTTTTTGGTCATTTGCATCATTTGATGTGTCACAGTGATGCATTCTGAATCTTGACTTAATTTATTTTGCACAAACCTCTAATTTTAGTTTCATTCATGAAAAAAAAAACGTTTTTGTGGTTTAAGAGCACATAATGTACATTTATCTCCCAAGTGTCTTTATCATTGCATTATTCTAACAAAATAATTAGTGTGTAGTAACACATGCTGTGCACACATGAAGCACAGGGACAGACAGGTGTGACAGCATTATTATTATTGTTATTATCGACTCTGGCGGTGCTCTGCTTGTGTTCACCTGCTTTTCCATGAAATAAAGAAAATAACCTGAGAATTAACTCAGTATTTGTGCATATTAGCAGTACTATCCTTTTGCTTTATGCATCAGCCAAGATATTTGATTAAAGTTTCAGTAACACTTTACAATAAAGGCCCTTTCATTAACGTTACTTGGTGCATTATTAAGCATTAATAAATAAAGGGTCCCTTTATTAATGTTACTTGGTGCATTATTAAGCATTAATAAACCAAGGGTCCCTTTATTAAGTTACTTGGTGCATTATTAAGCATTAATAAACAGTGTCCCTTTATTAACATTACTTGGTGCATTGGTAAGCGTTAATAAACCAATGGTCCCTTTATTAACGTTACTTGGTGCATTACTAAGCATTAATAAACCAAGGGTCCCTTCATTAATGTTACTTGGTGCATTATTAAGCATTAATAAACAAAGGGTCCCTTTATTAACGTTATCATTACTGTTACTTATTAAGTGCTCTTCAGTTTAGGACAAAGGGCCAGCGGACGTGTCTGCTTATTAATGGATTACATAATATGGTTTAGCAGTTGTTAATACTTTATTTAATAGTTTATTAATGCCTAATGTAACTTTAATGAAGTTACCTTTATTGTAAAGTTTATTCAGCCATTTAAACCGTCAGCCTGTCTGTTGTAACTATGCAGTGTTTAGTATCTGTTGCAGCTTCGCTCAGACACACTCAGACATCCGTCAGGCTCTTTGTGCCAAAGCGCCATCATTGTTATGATGAGACAGTTCAAGGTTTCTGTTTACCAACACTGACATTTGCTGTCATAATGTCTTTCCAGAGAGGAAATGAGTAACAAGATGGATGGTTCTGCTGGGCCAGGTACGAAGGCGAATGGACAGGCTGGTGCATCCAGCAGCCCGGCGCCGCCACCATCAAGCCCAGGTGTGACCTCAGGAGAACCACAGGAAGAACAGCAGTCATCTCTTGCTGAGGTCATTCAAATGTGGATTAAGTTTGCCAAAACATTTGCCATCATTTTCCCCATTTATGTGCTGGGATACTTTGAGTTTAGCTTCAGCTGGATTCTGATTGGACTGGCCGTGCTATTTTATTGGAGGAAGAACTATTCCGACCGGGACTTCAGGATAAACCGCTTGTTAGCATACCTGGACCACGAGGACAAAGCCGTGAAGCAAAATGTGCCGATGACTGAACTGCCGCTGTGGGTGAGTCCTGCAGCTTTGTTTCATTCCTGGTTTTATTTGTGTCATCATCTTGATCTGTCAGGTAGTCACACACATTCTCTCCAGTCATTTCACCCAGAACTGACATGAAAGTTAATCACAGATACACAAAAAGAACTGCCCTGCCTGGGAGTACGCCGCCATTTACTCGTCTAGGTTAGAGGTCAGACATTCCTAAATGTTTGTGTTGGAGGGAGACTGGCCAGCTGAAACTATCCGCCTTTTTTATCTCTAATCTCATGGATTACTCCAGTTTATCTTCCAGTAAATAGTGAAAATCATAGCTTATGTCAGGGATTTTGTTTGAGCGCAAAGCCAATTTTTATCCAAACGGTGTCCTCCTTGTTTCCTTCGATGGCGTCTTTGTCCTGAACTTGAACACGTTTAGTTTGTGGTTTAAATTATTCACACTGGTCTGGGAGGACTTCCCACTAGATGTCCCACTAGAGGATTTGTGTTGGGACAAAGACAACGTGGAATAAAGACAGAAATATTTCTGACATCAGATGCTCCAATAAGGAAAACAGTAGATGGTGCTCATTGGTGGGGTTCTCTTAGCCATCAGAAAGGTCAGGCCTTCTGTACTTTTGTAAACTGAGATCACAATCTTTTCCTGGATTTAATTAAGACCACTCTATTTTCATTCCTTCTATTCGCCCAAAGCGGTTTTCAGTGAATCATTCAGAAGGAATGCCTTCAGATATCCTGAAACTGGCACAGATTTCATCTGCATTAATTCCCAGGATGTTTCATGTGGTCTGACTGCAGTCAGGCTTGCAACATGGACGAAGAAGAAGACCATCCTCTTGACTTGCACATATCTGCCATTTTTCATGCTCTGTGGTAATGACTCATGGCATCCTCCACCAGTTTACATCACCGGTTTCTTGCATGATGGGAATGTAGATCCCAGTTGGGCGTGTCCACAGAAGCTCAGTCATGTGAAGGAGCTGGTGCTAACTCATGTGGTCATGTGGCTTTGGGAGGTGTTGTCCGTAGAGACCGTGTGTTTACATGAGAATGCCATCAAGGGCAGGGAAGGACTGGGACTAAAAAACAGCCCTGGACTTTGACTAGGCCCGGCCCAAAGTAATCGGCGCGCGGAAATTCGGCAGCAAAAATATGTGGTCAAACCATCAAAATTGTAGCAACAGCGCAAATGTTCACAATACCGTAAATCCTCTAATACAGGCCGGTATTCAATTAAAGGCCGGGTCTCCAATTTTGGCCGGTGTCGGAGTCAGCAGAGGTAAATAATGGCCGGTCTCTTATTGTGGCCGGATGGAATGTGGTAACAAGCAAGTATAAGCGTCCCAGCGGCAGGGTTATGGTCCCCAAATCAACCAGCAGGAGGCAGTAGGGGTTCACGCAGACTTTTATTAGGCTTTATCTTCAACGCTTTGTAAGGCTACAGACACGATGCTCTATCACGCTCCTACCACACAGAGTCACGGTGTCAGTTAACCATGCTAATTCAACCCGCTCCACAGAACACACATCACCTTCCCTGTGGCTTACATAACACTCACACAACACGCAAATCAGCACATAGGAACTAGCAGAACGATAGGAAACACATATAACACAATACCCAGAATGCACCTGGCTTACAACCCCAGCCAGGTCATTACACTATCAAGTTCAAAGAGAACGTGCTGATTATGCTGCAGAACACTCTGGGGAGCAGCAGTAGGGGGTGTATGAACTACAGTAATCCCTCGTTTATCGCTGTAGATGCGTTCCAGACCTGGCCGCGATAGGTGAAAATCCGCGAAGTAGGGACTCCCAGCATGCCCCTCGCGGGGATTCCCTCCACGTCGCACCTACGTCACAAACCGTGGCTATAAACGGAAGTCGCCTTTCCAGCTCACCACTTAGTCATCGTTTCTTCAGATTCATGATCAGAGTTTCCAACCTACCGATCAATCCAACGAACTATCAGCTCATAGTAAGTTATCTTACTTACTTCTGGAAAGCCCGGCATTTCCGTGTCACTTCGTTGACGCTCGAACGCTCGGGGGTTTCCTAGAGCAGCCGGCGTTTCACCGACGCTATCACTTCCGCGTCTGTGAAACCACGCTCCCTATTGAATTATCGTATGATCACATTCTCTGTGATCAGCAACGCGCTGTGCCGGACCGTAGGTACTGACACGCGATCGTTCATGTCGGTTCATTTCCTTTAATGTTTTCTGTTTTTTATTTGCGCCTGATGTGTATCGCTGCTGTGGAGCGGGGCGCATCAACTTGTCCTCCGATGCACAGATCACTGATGCGGCCGGCAAGCAGGGAGCGCTCAGCTGTTTTCGCGGTCGGTAGATCTGCCTCCTGAGCACGGCCACAGTAACAATCAGGTGTCGCCACCTCAAAAACTAATTTAACACGCGATCGTTCATGTCAGTTCATTTCCTTTAATGTTTTCTGTCTTTTATTTGCGCCTGATGCGTTTCGCTGCATGCTGTGGAGCGGGGCGCTGCGGGCATCACCTTGTCCTCCGACGCACTGATCACTGATTCAGCCGCCAAACAGCAAGCGCTCCGCTGTTTTTGCGGTCGGTAGATCTTTTAGAACTGCAGTTCAAAGGTAACTCATAAGGTGAATATATATGAACCCAGGCAGCAGTTTTTCTTTAGGATTTAGAGGAGATGCAGGAAGATAATAAACAGACAGGACAGAAAAATAGTCAAATAAAAACAAGTTAGTTTTTGTACCTGCTGTTGCAACAAACAGACACCATTGAAGGTAATCAGAAGTGAGGAACAGAAAATGAAATAATTATTTTAATGTTTAGAGCAGCAGGAACTCTGAGAGGCTGCAGGCACATCATTTAGTTTGCAGCTGCTGCGCAGGGGGAGGGGGGAGAGGGCTGAAGCAGAAACTACCGTTGTTAAAAGAAATGTGTTTAACTTTGAAAATGTGGGCGCAATTTTAATTGTCAAAAACTCCAGCGAACCATTAGCTCATTTTGCTCAAATAGAAATAGAGGCCTGCCTCTAATACTGGCCCTCCTTCCAATAAAGGCCTGGAGCTTGATGAGCTTGAGTCAAATACAGGCCCGGGCCTGTATTAGAGGATTTACGGTATGTTGTATTAAAAGCTGTATTACTGATAAGCTTAATAATTTATGCAGTAATTAATCTTCTTACTGCACAAATAATACCACATCTAAATGAAAATGCAGCATTACAAATGTAACTTCTGTATTTAAGATTTTCACAGTTTGTGAGCATTAACTGTAACACTACTACCAACCTTTTTATGTAAAACCACAACATATTTATTACCCACTGCATGAGGCCTTTTACAGCTAAAATGTTGAAATTTAGCTGTTATCATAAAATAAAATTGCAACCTAAACATGAATTCCTAACATCTATCCTTGCAAATGTTTCTCCTCTTACATTCCATACTTACTTCCCCTGGATCTGCCTGTGGAACCAGCACATCTTTCTGTCCCTCGTTACTGCTGGCATGTTGCTGTGTAGCTATCTGCCTGACTTCTTCACTGCTGTGAACCTGCTGTGAGGTGCTGCTGCTGGCTGTGTTGCTAAATATGTCGGTTAATTTGTGACATTTAGAGGCTTCAGCATCTAATGCCCGCAATCTTTTTTCTCTTGCCTTCTCAGCCCCACCCTTTTCTCCCCCCCTTTTTTTTTTTTTTACTAGCGGCCGGGTTTTGCATCGTTTTTTCTACTGCCTTTGCCTCCTCTCCGCTTCAGCTTCTTCTTCTCCTTGCCTGGCGGCCACAGCCAATGTAGCTGGCATCCAACTTAGAGATGCAGTGCTGCCACCTAGAGTGCTGGAGCGTGAAAGAGCTTTTTTGGGGGGGGGGGGGCGAGGGGGGGGGGGCAGGTGTTGAAAGCGTGCGTGGAGAGTCGTGGGCCGGCCCACCGGCCGTTCTGTGATTCTCCAGAATCCACAGATGGCCAGTTTGCCCCTGATCAAGGGAATGCATTCCACCTCCAGAGAGCCGACGGTTTACCATTACTAGTTTATACATTTGTGTATCGAAGCAATTACAGAGATTTATACTGAACTGTTTTCCTTTCATTGACTTAAGTTTTATTTGTTATCTCTTTAAAGAGCAAGTCATCCCCTACCAGAGTCTTACTCCACTCACACTTCCTGTTTGAAAAATGCAACAAATGCTGTTGCCTAGCAGACCGAGAGGGCAAAACTGCTAACAAATACACACACACACACACACACACACACACACACACACACACACACACACACACACACACACACACACACACACACACACACACACACACACACACACACAACGACATTGTGACATCATAATGTAGCAGCTAACATCATAGTGTACCTCTTGGCCAGTAGCGATGGCAGATTAAATTTAAATGCAGTGCACAGATTTTACCTGACAACGGCACAACACTTATGGGCTCGACACACGGGAGGCGACAAACGACCGCGATCAGCGAAATTTGGCGCTGTCGCTTTTATTACCTGACACACGGGAGGTGATCCGCGGCAGCGGCCAGCGGCAAAGCCATCTACGCGTTCTGTTCCATGGCGAAATCGAAACTTCCGTTAATTTGTTTGGCTGTGTCAGGTTGGAGGGAATTAAGGTTATTTAAGCGGTTCAGAGTTAAAAAAGTGGTAGATATGATGTTTCACAAGGTGTTGCTAAAGTTATGTGAAATCTTACTTCTGATTTTACTATATAAAACGTAATAATAATCGACTTCTCCTTCATGTTTGCTCGGAGGTGTACGGAGCATCCTGTCCGCTCATTGGTCAGTGAATGAAACCTCCGTTGATTGGTCCTCGTCCGAGCGACAGCGATGAAAAGTTGAAAATGTTTCAACTTTCTGGGATCGCGTCGCTGGGTTGCCTGTGCACGACACGTGCACAAGTGCAAAATTTCACACGCACGTTTTTCGCGTTTCACTTGGTAGGAGGGAGACCCGCGATTATCGCTTTGTTGCGCAAGTCTCATTGAAAATGAATGGA